GTGCCGACCTTACGGGAGTAGGATACTTGGGTACATTTTAATGATTTAAAAACTCATGAAATCTTCAACAAAAATATCATATTAAAATTTTTAAAACGTACGTATTCGGTTCATTAAGTCTATCTCTCTCTACTCGAGACAAAGGGAAAGAAACGGGAATCATCGCTGAATCTTTAAAAGAAAAGGGCAAAGCTGTATGCAAATAGAATCGTTTCATTTACATAAAGAAAATGATTCGTGTATCGAGTTCTCGGCACGAGATGGCGCTAGGGTTGCCAGCTGATGGAATAAATTAACAAATATTGTTTTGGAAGTAATCCTTTTTAACCGAAGAAATGTCTAGCAAGCTTAGTTTCAGACATTCAATCTTTAAATTACAATAAAGGATGAAATACAAAAGAATCTATTCATAACTAATAGTTCAGTACATACCACATCTAAAATGGTTTAACGTTCACTAAAGAAGACCATTATCGTAACTCTTACTAATATTATAGTCTGGAAGAACACTAAAACTTTGTTTATTTTCACTCCGTGCAGATGAAGTCGCGAGCGAAAGCTAGTTTAATAATAATAAACAAACAATTCCTATAAAGCCAGAAGACATTTAAAATAGTTTGCATCGTATCTTAGACGAGCATTTGTAAATGTGGAAGAAGTGGATTTGACGGAAGAGAGATGCATAGGAAGGGGAAATATCCTCTTTATTTGCATCTCCTCTGTCGGATAGGGGTAGGCAACGCCTCTGCAATTGCGGATGTCTATGGGCACAATCGCTTCGCCATTTTGGAGGATTCCGGTGGCCGCTTGCTCGTTTGCCACCTTGTGTTATAAAAAAAGACGAGCATTAAATTTACAAACAAAATATGTACGTGATTTTACGTAGAACTTATAATTACTTAGTAATCGGGAACGAAACAAAAGCACATTTATAATGAAAACACAGCTTTAAAAGCATAACTTGTCGGAAGACTAAAACAAAGGACGGTAAGTTGTTTTGTTGATGCATAAACAAATTGGATGTTCGCGTGAACTGACGCACGCCATCATTGTAGCATTGTAAAAGACAAGACTTTTGTAATAACGAACTAACTTAAATCCAAGAACGTGATGTCCTTAAAAAATTTGTAAGATATCTATTGATATCTATTGTCTTTACTTTTTTGAACTCAGTACCATTTTATATACTTTAACGATAGTCCATTTAAATATTAGAATCGTCTTATCAACATTCTTAACTAACTTCTTATGTGGAATTACAAAACAAAAGTAAGTAGCCTATGTGTTCTCAAAGACTATCATATACAATTATGCAAAATTTCATCGAGATTCGTTCAGAAATTTAAGCTACAGGCTTTAACAAACATCCACCCATTTTAACTTTCGCATTTAAAATATAAGATGAGGTCATAACGAAACAATTTTGATAAAAACATAAGCGGGAATGGTTTATATTTCATATTATATTCTAATAACAACATGATTGTACAATCACCAGTAAATATCAGCAAAAATTAGCAGAATTTGAAATCTTTCTATTTCGTTTTTGATAAAAGTAACGCTTAAGTTATTACGACAGACTCTAGGGTCTGTTATTTAAGCAGCGCTATATTTATTTAAAATCAAAGCTTGTGTGTTATGATTTATAAATAAAATATGTGAAACAATTCCCAGAAGCTTCTTGTAAAAGTTCTATTATTCATAAGAAAGCTTTATACAAAGGCATTAGGTTTAATAGAAAAGTAAGAACTCATGCCTTTTAGAAGTCAAAACACAGCCGGAAGAGGGTCGTAAGTATTTGTTACATAATAGTTTCCGGTCGTAGCAATATTCTACAGATGTAACTTTATGTAGAGCACGTTTCAACTTAAGAATGGACGGAGATGAAAGGTAAAAGACGTGATCTTCCGGTACGTAACTTAATCATCGCTAAGGCTTTAGAACAGATACGAAGCAACATGAATAAGTAACAATGCGACGAGATTTTCACATGTGTATTTTACAGTTGTTATATCAATACAGACTTATAAACTAAGCGTATGAAATTACCTGTAAACTTACTTCAAACCATTTCATTTGTAAAGCTATATTTAGAAAAACCTGACATGGAATCTATTTACACGCATATCTATTAAACAATTTTAACACTTATTCAATAATCACAAAATCCTAATAACTTAAATACATAACGGCCGTAAGCCTAATACTGACAGATGCATACGGGCCTGTGTCGATAAATGCTAAGCTTTGAATTAATAATACCCTCATCGAATGCCGAACTAAATTCCAATGTTATTTTAGCAATCCTAACTTTCAGCCGAATTAATAACCTAAATCATGAACCAGTAATTATCTGAATTGTAGGAAGTTGATACTCACGCTTTTGAGCATTTATTTGGTAGACAGATAAAGGCAAAATTATTTTATTTGATATTATAAAACCTCAATTTTAGATGGCTGGATGGATGTTACCAGAATTGAACATAGCCTAAAAAAATCCATAATTTTTTTAACATTAACGGACTAAGTCGTGGCTAAAAGCTAGTCGCAAATAAAGGGCTTTAAGAGTCTAGTCACAAGAAAACCGACATATACAGATTACTAATCATTAAAATGTAAAAGTTTAGATAGATTGATGTTTGTAAGAAGGTATCTTTAGAATGGCTCTAGATGTCGATGAAATAGAACATAGGATACTAGTTGACTTTTTTTTTTTAATTCTGCGCTGACTGAGATGACGACAGCTAGTTGAAACGTAATGTATTCAAGCACGCCAGATAAATTAACCCGTATGCGAGGCGATTTACTTAAAGAACGAAAAGATTATATATTATTCAGATTAGCTATTTATTTAGGAGCATCTGTTCGAGATGTTACGTTAACGAGAATTTCTATGAAACATCATGTGTCAATAACAGGCGGTGTAAAAATATACGATATAAATAAACCGAATATTAAATCTTATTTAGTTGATGTTCCTGTTTTATGACGTCATAACGTTTTACGATACAGCTTCTTAAGGAAGCACGTTTCTTATAACAATATGATGAGAATTATTCTGATTTAATGATAAGGAATTAATACAAAAGACGAAGTCGTAGAGCCACCAGATCCAGGAAAGAGTAGTGCCCTGATGTGATAGAAAGAGACGGAATAGTGACAGAAAGAATAGTAAAAGTATGAACAACTCCATTTTAAAGTCTACAAGAATTAACATTTAAATGTTAAAATAATATTGATAATATCAAGATTAATATAAATTATTATAATAAAGCGTAAACACAGTAAACGTAACTTTGTTGCCTAAGATGTCAGCAAATACAACATATTTTTGAATAATTCTTTTTTTAATAAAAAGCCTTAGACTTAGCGTCAGGCTATATGTTTTCACGCCATTAAACTTAGGGGGTAAATGTTTTGGATAAATCCCTAATGTGGGAAAGAGACCATAAGTTGCTGCCAACATAAAGAAAAAAAGATTGCCAAGGTTTGTCATGTCATGTCAGTTTGACATTTAATATTGATAATTTGACAAATTTAAACAATAAAATAAAATTTTCGTATTTTCATGCGGATGAAGCCGCACGGGAACAGCTAGTTTTATAATCAAATAACATTTTTCAACAGTTAAAAATATAAAACAGTTTAAATCAACAGAAAAATAATTATTGTATTTCCAATACTCATTGGAAAATGAAATTTTAATTTGCTTGAGTACGTTTAACGATTTAAAATTGATGTCAAAAGTTAGTTGAATAACAGATTAAAAAATGTTCATTTATATTTCTTTGCTCTTTGATTAAATGAAAAAACGATTCGCTTAAATTGATCTACTTTAAATTTAATTTAGTTTTGATAATTTTATTAAACTGGAATCCGTTAGTTTTGATTGAACGATTTATATTTTATTCATTTAATAAAAAAAACGATTGCAAGCGGTTCCATTTTTATTAACTCGATGAAAATGATGTTTTAATATTCAAGTAAAGTTTAATATTACTAAAACGATCTAAAAATAATTACTTGCAATTAGTCTTGAACTGTTTTCTGAAAACAAGTCATTTATAGTAAAAAAAATTTGAAATGAATTGTATTTCTTACCATAAATTCCGTGCGAACTATAACGCAATACTCGTAATAACAAAAACAAATAATATTTCAATTTAAACACTACCGCGAAGGAGGGCAAAAGAAGTTATGTAAACGCAATACAAAAGATGTACGAGCGGGTAAAACATTTCACCGGTGAATTGGAGTTGGAAACAAAAGACAGCCGCGTCAGTGCTAGCTACCGAGCTTTGATTAAAACAGCTAATACGCGCAGCAGATACTCAAACGTTTCATTAAATTGCAAATGTGTACACGGAATGCTGTACAAAAAAGGCTAGTGACGTTCCGTTGTAAAAGGTCTGAATCGGAAACAATCGAAGCATTAGGTCGAACTAATTGGGCGCTTTTAAACTCGAAGTGCAAGTACCTTAATAATGAGAATTTGTTTATCCTTGTTTTATAAACAAATTAAAAATCAAATTTACTAGTATCTACTAGTTGTATTGTATTGTTGTATCTACAAGAAAGATTTTTAACAGTGGTAGAGCCCGCTTTAACATCTTGGCACGAATGGGCCGGCTCCCCCGGTGTAATAACATTACAACACAGAAGACAGACGTGAAGTGGAAGTAATTCCGCGTTTCGTCTGATGAGTGTGGTACCGGAGGCCTAATTTTTAGTCCCTTTCCCTTTCCACACTTTTCTTAAGAGGAGAGGCTTAGAATGAAGAGTGGATTTGACGGTGGAGTAGACGCATAGGAAGGGGAAATGTCCTCTTTATGTGCGTCTTCTCCTTCGTCAATTAAGGGTAGGCAATGCATCTGCTGTTGCGGAAGTTTATGGGCAGCGTTCGCTTTCCGTTTCGGTGTATTCAGGTGGCCGCTTGCTCGTTTGCCACCTTATATTATAAAAGTATTCAGTATTCAATTAATAAAATATTTTACCCTCAGGTATCGACCCGTACTGGTATAGTGTCACACTACGTGCGGCTACAAATCGTGGTGCCCGAGGCCTTTATCCTGGGCTCAGGGGAGCACCACGTAGACCTCGGCAGCGTTATACATCTCATCTGCATTGTGGAGAAAGTAAGTAACGTAATATGGACGTCACCAGGACACAGTAGCTGTGAAGGGCCCACTTAGAGCAGGGGTGGCAAACCACTGGTATGCGTACGACATAATATTCCGGGCACGTAGGTAATCATAAAAAAAAACACGAAAAAAACATGAAGTAGATGCACCATGTAATTGACACAATAATCGCAGTCAAAATTGTTCGATTGCACGTCTAAGAGCGCAATAAACATTTCTTAATATCCCTGTTTTTTAAATAAGAATGGGAGCGCTGACAATATTGTAAACTACAAACGGCATTACCATAGCCAATTTATATGAATAGATTAACATTTAGAACTGCTATAACATCAAATGGACCATTCAGTTATTTTCGTTCTCTAACATTCCAGTTGTAGGTATATTAGTTCCCAACCAAAATTCCTAATCCCCAGACGATATCTTCCATTTAATATCGCGGGTATATCCCATGTACAGGCATATAGTCGGGAATTGGACGCGTAAAAGCTACTATTGTTATAGCGATGAGATCATTCGTAACTTTTATTGGTCACTAATGGTATTCTCACTGTTACGGGTTAACGACTATCGCTATGGTGGATATAAATTCGCTGGTTCGCTGACCGACGGCCTTTAGGGCTGTCACGGGTCAAACAAGTGTAGGATGCAAGGTGCATATTCAGGTTACATGTTTTGAAGTCGATATTTCGGGATAAATCAACAGATGGCGCTTTTTTTCAAATCGCTCTTTTGTTTCCTGATCTTCGTTTGTCCTTTGCTGTTGTGTTTGAAACACAGTTAACTCAAAGGACAGCCCTAACGATATATGACTGTATATGACTGTTGTAAAATTTTGTTTCCATTCTAAAAAAGGACAAATATGTTTATACGTTTTATGATACGTTTGTTGACTGAGGCGAAATCGTTATCGATAAAGTAGAAAGGAATTAAAGGCTTTTGATTGCAAGAGATTTTAGACGATATCATGACTGGATTAATTAAATGAAAGCTACACAACGTATTATAAAATTTATGAGTCGAGAACTTAAACGTCATTGCTACGTACTAACAATTCGAAGTAATGTATGGCATTAACACTTAATTCACAGAGCCCAACACCACCGCAGTACGTCTTCTGGTACCACAATGACCGTATGATAAACTATGACGCGACACGCGGCGGCATCACAGTGGAAACGGAGCCTGGTGCCCGCACGCAGTCCCGGCTCACGGTACGCGGCGCCACGCTCAAAGACTCCGGCAACTATACGTGCAGCGCAAGCAACACCGAACCCGCATCCATACATGTGTTCGTCTCTGAAGGCAGTAAGTTAACTTCAAACCGTCTCTGAGTAGACCTTTGACTAAACGATCGCACAACTGTCTAGTCTCGCTTTGATTCCTATTACAGGAGCAGGAGGTGCTCATACTCGATTTTTAGTTGTGCAACTAAACAGTTGAAGCCGAAACAATCGACAATCGCACAACAGTTTGAGATTGTTTAGTCAAAAGTGTGCGCCCGTTCTTAGTCAAATCAAGTTCCACATGTATGTAGTTCTCTCTCATGGTAGTAATTTTTTTATCGCCGTACGCATCTAGATATAAGTAAATTTTAACTTTAAAGACAGTAAGATTGTACTAACACTGATATTTACATCTAAAAGCAGTAAATACTTCTGTAAAAGAACGAAATGAGTAAATAAGTCTGAACTAACTTCTAGGAATGTATTAAGCACTAACTTTTTCTTGCGGTTTCATCCGCATAAAATTATAACAATTTTATTTTTTTGTCAAATTATCAAATGCTAATGTCAAAATGACAAGACATGATAACAAACCATTGCAACCTTGCTTCTTTTATGTTGACAGAAACTTAAGGTCTCTTTCCCACATTAGGGTTTTTATCCAAAATATTTACGCCCTAAGTTTAATGGCGTGAAAATATATAGCCTAAAGCGTGACGTAAGTGTAGGGATTTTTATTAAAAAAAGAACTATTCTAAAATATCCTGTAATTGCTGACATCTTAGGCAACAAAGAAGTGTGTGTTTACGCTTTATTATAATAGTATAGAAGTATAGATGAAAAATTCATAATTTTATCGTAGAAATAAAAAAGTAAAAATAATAAAGAGATTTAAACATGAATTGCAATCAATGAAAAGCTTTACAAATTGGATTACGTTCATATACTTTTAATTGGTAAATTGAAAGACGAGAACAATCGAATGTGTAATACGATTGATAATGAAATTATTTTATCCCTTTGTCGAAAATAATGTGCATCAATCAAATTAAAGGATTATTGAAAATCTAAAGGAAAATTCCAACGGTATAAAATTACATTATTACAATACGAAATATGTATTGGTACGAAATTCAAGTAAATTTTCATTTGTTAAAAACAAAGCCATTTAATAAAAATATGGAGTAAGCATAGTGAACATAAAAACCTCACCGGTACTTTCTCTGAAAGGTACTATATCAGTTGTGAAGATTAAGGCGCCAACTCGAGTCCTTGTATTGAAATGTAAAACAATATTATAAGCTCCAACTTTAAGTTTGGAAGATTTACTAATAGATAGCGTTATTGATTTTATTTGAAAAAATATTTCAAGTGAAGTGTCAATGCCTACTCTATCCCTCTTCTTATCTCTTTTCCATCTCTTTGGTTAAAATAACCTTTATTACAAAAGTACTTAACTCAAAAATAATAATATAATATGTGACCAAAAAATTACATGACAGAAGTTTTAATAACGACAATAAATTCAGGTGACATTTTACGCAATTCCAGGCAACAAGATGGCGGCGATCTTACGTCGCAACACAAGCGCGATACACGGCATCACGTCCAGCGTCACCTGCCTGCTCCTGCTCTCCTCCGTGATGGTGCACTTCGGCCTACGATGACGGTGATATTAAGATCTCGATAGTTAAGAATATTGGTACTGTATACAAGTTTATCGTTTTATTAACATGTCTTACGTGATGATTACAGTTTCGAAATGCTGTTTAATGTCAAACAAATGCTACTTGGTTTTTGATGTGTCCACTTATTCATCACCTAACGATTAAGTTATGTTTACACACTAACGAATAGTTAAACGTAGGTGGGAAACCGGACATTAATCAGGTCTAGTGCATAAAGCCCGTGCGATAGTTTCGATTCCGTTGTAATATTTTTAAGTTTGTAATATAGTTAACTACCAAACCACTGACAGATATATTATAATAGAAAATTACCAATATTAAATTAAGACGGGTTTTATGTACGAGTAGATAAAACGTATCTGCAAAGAAATTAAAGATATAATTAGATTTGAAGCCGATATACGTATAACCGTACAAATTTATAAAAGTCATGTTAGGATTTAATAAGCTTGGTTATACAGTACCGAATAAAATAATTACATACCATTTCATTCTACTCAAGTTATAAGCTTCGTAAGTTGGTTCGTAATTAAAATATGATAGATTAAAATAAAATTGAGGTGTCTATTCTCTGTATTCTAAACTATTACAATTGGTTTGAAGACTTTTTTCGATGCACCAAAACTGTGAAACAGGGATGTGCTATATGGTATTAGTTAATTTGTTTTTATTTTGGTAATTTAATAATGTAACAGTTGGTATACACTACCTAAAATCTTCCTACAAAAAACGACTAATATTTTTATTTTCAAAGAGTAAGAGAAGGAAGCACAATAAATTTAAAAAAAAAACTCAAAATGTCAAAGATTAAATATCAGCTGTCAGAAGTTCAGGGATCCAAGAATTCTAGAGAGGAATTTGTAAATAATTTCACTTTTTCTTTCATCTACTAACTCCATTGTCTTCATTGTTATTAAGTATAGACTGGCGAATTTATTTGACCCGGTTGGCATAAGTCTCGGCTAATAAATATCAGCTCATCAATGTTTGTGGCAATATCGTATTGTTTTGCAGTTGTTCATATTTTCTATAAGAACTGACAGCATTCTCTCACCGGGTCAGATAAAAGATCGCACTGTAAGATTATATACATGTGTACTGTATAGTTAATATTTAAAATATACGTATTAATATCGATGTAGTAGGTTAAATTAAAAGTTGAATTCAATAAAAACATTATTGATGTATAGTAAACAAATAAAAACATCTTGCTGTCCTTTTGTCTAAGATTTTAGATAAAAATATTATAAGAGTAATAGTAAATAAAAAAGTCATATGTCAAAGACTAAGTTATGACAGATGCGGCAATATTTTAAATTGTTACAAACATTATTGGACATGTGAAAATTAGGAACGGGCGAACACTGTTGACTAAACAATCGCACAACTTATGCGATTGTCGATTGTTTTAAATAAATAAATAAAATAAAACACTATTGACCAAAAAAATTATAAAAAAAGAACACAACTTACAAAACATATTACTGAAATAAAAGTTTAAAAATTCTTGGCCAAAAGGAGAAGGCTCAGCTGATGCGGCCTCCAGCTTGTCACTAAAGGCCGCGCTGGTTTTCGCTGCCCATTCAACTGTTTAGTTGCACAACTAAAAATCGAGCTACCATATAAGCTCATTGGAATCAAAACGAGAGTAAACAGTTATGCGATGGTTTAGTCAAAAGTGTACGCATGCTCTTAATGTTAATTTCTAACCAATTTAAGTTTATCCATCATACGATATAACGTCAATTAAATATGTAATACAACAGTTCTTTTGTACTTATAAATTATCGTATTTAATATGAAGCCCAGTTACGCAAAAATTTGAATTCACATTGTATAGACTACTTGGTGGGTTTATTTAAAAAATATGTAAAGTTTATGTTAATGTTTCTAAATTTTCAGAACATTAATATTTTCTTATAAACCCATATTAAAATACTAAGATGACATAGCTCAAATAACTATTATATCTAGTCAATGTAAATTCACTGATCCCTTTTAGTTTAAATTTAAATATTGTACGTGTTAAAGTAAATGAAATTATGTAATAAATTCCGAGTAATTAAAATAAGAATCTTGGAGTTTTAATATAACAAAGCTGACTTGAAAAATGGAGCCTGGCGACCTTATTAAGAGATTACAAAACTTTCGATCGATGAATTAATGGAAAATTAATGTAATTTAATTTTTTATTATCACAGAATAAAGGTCAAAATAATCAATAGAAACCAATAAATAATAATGTTAAACTTTAAAGGACAAGTCAGCTCTGTGAATTATTATTCTATGACGAAATCATAGATTGTAGTCGATGGTAAAATCATAGATTAAGTAAAAATATAGTAAAGAACTCGGTATACTTGAATTCTAAGATAAATATTGTCTAATTCTAAAAATTTGTTATTCTATGTAAATATTAATTGTAACGAAATTCAAAAGGTAGAGAATATCTGCCGCTAGGTGTTGTAAATAACTTGTCAGTGTTGTTTAAAAATTACATACTGTACAAATAATTTTGGTGATCCTAATATGCAATAAATACTTCTTCGGATGATGGCAATTTTATTTTAACACTAGCTGTTGCCCGCGACTTCGTCCGCGTGGTATTAGAAAAATACGAACTATAAATAACAAAAAGCTACATATCCCTCGGGAAACGGACATTTCTCGGGGGATGAACCTTATCCCATGTGTACTACAGACTTTGCTTTATATCTGTGCCAAATTACAATAAGATATGTTGAACCGTTGCAGAATGATCGAGTAAATATTATAAAATTAAATTAATGAATTCCACGGGAACCGTAACTATTCCCGGGATAAAAAGTAGCCTATGTATTCTTCCAGACTATGGTCTAAAACTGTGCCAAATATCATGGAGATCCGTTCAGCCGTTTAGGCTACAAACGCTAACGAACATCCATCCATCCAACTTAAATTTCGCATTTATAATATTAGTAAGATTAGTAAGATTTCACTTAGTAACGCTTACAATCTAACAGGAACCAAAATGTTAATAGAATTTAAGCATGACCTTACACACGCATATGCACATTGGAGAAGAGTTACGCGAGATAGAAAACAGTGTAAGAGTTTCGAGGAGGCCTATGTCAAGAGGCATGCTGAAATTAGAGACATACTATATTTAATTTAATTTCAGAACAAAAGGCCATATCATATTATTAAACACGCATATTTAAACGGCATTTCAGGAATCTGCCGATACTTTTAAAGTTTTGACCTGACTAGAAATAGGAAAAGCCCTGAGTTTTCATATTCTTGGTGAGTCTATTCTACCTAATATCCCAATTAAAAAGGGTTGCTCTCCTAAAAAAGATTCTTAATGTTTTGTACTAATCTATGCACGAAAACCCTTACATTATAATACTCTGTTGTATACCTTACCATTTTAAAAGCTTAGCTGTTAAATTTTAATTTAACTATTACAAAATGTTATGCAAACAAAGAGCTTAGAGGACAAGTTGCCGCTCGTCTGTCGCTAATCTTACATAAACTGGGCCAAGGAACCTTGTTACTTGATTTAATTTAAAATATTCAAGGAAACAAGACTTGCTTACAGTATTATTAAAGATTCAGTGTTTGCGATTAACAGAATATACGTTTTACGTGTTAGATATTTCCACAAATAACTTCCTTTAAAATATAGACGGACTGCCATATTAACAATACTTGTAAATTACTTCAAAACACACAAAGTAAACTACAATGCGACAACGCAAATATATTGAACGTTCCGTTGTGACGACTAGTAAAACACTAAGCTTGTTAGCGACTGAGCGCCGAGACAACAACTGAGCCTGAGCCACTCCTTGACATATATTTTATAAAACTACCCCCCACTATTTCTTCCGTTTCCTAATATTTTTCTAACAATGTTGTTGTTTTAAATAAAGATAAATGCATTCATAAATACCACAGATTAACAAATAACTCTTAAGAATACAGAATACATTAAAAAATAGTTAAATAGCTAACACATGTTTGTTAAAAAATTCATATGGTTTTTAAATTTTTTGTTAACTTTTCCTTTTTATAATTTATTCTATTAAAATTAAGTTTCTCGTAATAAAAAAAAAACTAGTAATTTTTGAAACACTGAATTATTTAACAGACGAAAAGAAAACAATTTAAATTAAATTTCACATTAGTTTGTTAGCTAAAAATTGCGCCAATTTCTGACTCTAGATAGAATTTGAAAAAATATTGACTCCTTTCCTAAACCTCCTTTTTGACTTTTTAAATTATATTTCTTTTATCTATACATTGTTTAAGTCGTTTACTTTCATAAAATATTATCCTGTTTTATCTAACACAGTGGTCCTTCGAGTCGGATAATAATTAAAACAAACAAAGAATATAAATTAATTATTTTATTAAACCTTTACTTATGTCCTATGAGTTCATTGAACAGTCATATATTTGGTCTCTACAATGATTTAAAATGGGTCACAGATGAAAAACATTAGTAACAATAAAGACAAAACATACAAAATAAATACCATCACAAAATTCACAAAGGAAAACCCTAGAATAACACTAAAATTCGACACTATTTCTTTATTAAACTATTAAAATCCATTTTATCTATTTAAATTGATTACTATTGCATAGCCGTGCATAATAAATGCTACAATGATTAGTGACGTCATAGATTCCAATCGAAAAAATGAATCTGATTCAATTCAAACACAGTTTACATTAATTGGATAGTAACAAAAGTAGTCTAATAACAATGAATTATGGAGAATAATATTCCACAATTACCGGAATATTGTATAGAACTATTGTACAATTCTGGAATTACACGCGTCAGTAATAAATATTTAACTAACTAAGTTCTATAATTATAGAGTTCTAGTTCCGTCGGGATCTTGATCTTGTTGTTTTATAAGATTCCAGTAAAAGCCTTTTTGTTTCTTCAACTGTTCGTGTGTGCCCATCTGTAATTTAATAAATTATTTTACAGCGCCATCTATTTTTCAATATAAAAAAACATTAAACAACGCCATCTATACGCCACTTTGTACACTATTACACGATTTGTAAGAAAGGTATTGTTAAGTGTTTCCCGTTAGAACAATCAGCTTACTTACAATCGACCTGATGGAAATATTTTTCTTTATTCTATAAATTCACTAGCGTAATAGGATTGTCCATACTATTTGTAATTAATATTCGCCATATCGGCTTATTGGGAAACATCTCATTATTGCTGATCGTTAGGCTGATCGTCGCAACGGGAAATACGCATACATGCTATAGATAACACTGAGAAGATATTAATTTAGACAACATGTATATTTGTGAGAGAGAGAGAGGAGATCTAGCGAGTGGATAAGAAGGAGCGAGATAGAAACAGTACATACCTCTACAATGTTCCCCTTATTGAGCACCACAATAAGATCAGCGTGCATGACAGTGGAGAGTCTGTGAGCGATGACGAGTACAGTGCGGCCGCGCGTCACGCCCTCCAGCGCCGTCTGCACTACCTTCTCACTCGCAGAGTCCAAGGCACTGGAATGTGCAAATATAAAGCGTTCACACTAAGCCAGTAAATTTGGAGAGTGGCGTTCAATAATTGAACTGGCATTCAACACAATATAAATACTAACGCCAGTTAGTCCGTACAAAGTTTGCCTTGAAATAAGTCTTAATGCGCGCAATAGATGGCGCTGTAACGAAAATTTATCCTAATAAAAAACTACTAGAAACATTAAAAATTCAAAATGTTGACAATATACTATATAATAACTATAACTAACAAAGATTACTACTAAAAACCTTGTAGCTTCATCCAATATCATAATTGGTGGATTCTTCAACACAGCGCGAGCGATAGCTATTCTCTGTTTCTGTCCGCCGGATAGTGCCATCCCTCTCTCTCCTACTAAAGTGTTGTATCCCTCAGGGAAGCCAGTGATGAAGTCGTGAGCATTGGCAGTCATTGCAGCTTGGTAAATCTAAAAAATACACATTTTCTATCAGATAACAATAAAAGTAAATAGTAGTTAAATTGCTGCGAATATTTATATCGATTAGGGATGTATTTCCTTTTTTAAATAATTTATTCTGATAGTTTAAGAAATTATTCCATAATTTTATAACAACGCCATCTATTGGTGTGACTAAACACTACGTGAATCGAATTAAATTGGAAATTTGTCTTACCTCATCATCAGTGGCATCCGGTTTGCCATATCTTATGTTCTCCTTGACGGTGGTGGCGAAGAGTACAGGCTCCTGGCTGATGAGGGCCAGCGCCCTGCCCCGCAGCCACTTGCAGTCCAGCTCACGCACGTCCACGCCATCTATTGTCACCGCACCTTCATTTACGTCGTAGAACCTAA